TTCTATAAGTCCCCCAAATCATAACCATACTCTTATGATGTTTAAATGATAGAGAATGTGCAATTATGAGAGTATTAGTATTTTAAAATATATTTTTACATCAATCAAATTGTTATCTTTTCAATGCTTCAAAGAAAAGCTAGCCAATTAGATATAAAAAAAGTTGGTAAGTAAGATTCTTAATCAAAGAATGTAAGCACATGATAAATGCAAAAGCCACAAAGGCAACAGTTTCTCTATTTTCCTTTTTGATTGCCTAACTAGTCAATATATATTTGTTTGGAATGAAAATTTATACTTCTTTGTTGCCATTTTTTCTCGGCCTAACACTTGACTTGTGCTTGCACCGAATGTGAAAGTCTAACATTCTTTATTTTACTAGTAAAGTTAACTACTTTTGCGTGTGAAAATTGCATTGGTCTTCATAACTACTAAAGAATGTGAGGATTTTGAATTGATGAATTTCTTAAGAAGTTCGCAACGGATTTGTAGTGGCTCTTATACCGCTACAGATAAATTAGTAGGTGTTTAAACCGCTGCAATAGGTCCTAAAAAGTATTACGAAAATATGATTTACTAGTAGATGTAGGATAGTCCTCCAAATCTGCCTTGAATTATCAAAAAGTTCCTATGTATGAAATTACTAATTTATACATTAGCTGTGTATTTTTCTATTTCTAACTGTGTAACCCTTTTTTCATTTTTGGAATAAAATCTTTTTGCTTAAAAAATGAAATTACTAATTCAACTTAATTTATAAATAACTTCAACAAACTAAAAAAAATCACATATTCAAGTCAAAATCTTGATACCCCATTAGAATTAGCAACTGGAGCTAACTCTTAGTTCCTACTTTAAGGATTTGTTTGGGGAAGTTTTCTCTCTGCTTCGCTTTTTAGACAACAATCATAATTTTGTTTTGATACTATTTTCTTGTTGCTTTATCAATACTTCTAGGAAATTGCTGTTGCGGATAGTTTCTTTTTACAACTGGAGTAGCAAAGTCATTTTCCTCGCTATAACTTCACAACCAACTTTATACAGTACTCTAGCTATTTCAAATAGGAGAAACTATTCTGTGAAGAGTCCGGACGTAAAACGTTGTCTGGAGACCAACCAGAATGCACCACGTCAGTAGCATTGAGCTGCAGTATAGTACCGAGCAAAGGGTGACGTGGCACATTCTGATTGGTCTCTAGACAGCGTCCGCATAGAATCCTCAAATAGACCCTAAGTTAATTTTCAAATATATTCAATTTCATTCATCACTTGAACTTATTTGGTGAGTAAAGGAAAATAAATATGTGAGAACTATTTTGTATGCTTTCTTAATTAATTGTGGTAAGCAATTTAGCTATGTAACATACCTAAATTAGGTATATATTTACTAAGGGATGGTCTTAGCAGCCGTAAGCAACCATAAGAATTTAGCGGTGACAAAGTAGCTTTCATCATCATCGACTATAGAAGAAGATTCTACCTTCTTTCAACTGTTATAGATAATTAAAAAATATATAGCTGGGTGACTTCTTCTATGGCCATTTTATGAATAGCAGACGTTCAACTAATCACACACCCCTTCATTCTTTTTTTATAAGGCTATTTTCAACCGTAAAATTCATTTTTCACTTCAAAATATAGTAAAATTCGAAAGAAGAAAACATTTAATGATTAAAATTATATTCACTCAAGATCAATCATGTCAAATCTTTGAGATAAAATCAAAGTCGAATCATACCTTGATTTATGGCAAGAAGAAGAAGATTTAGGCTTTGTTTGGGACGGCTTTTTTATTGCTTCTTAAAGTTTTTGTACTAAAAAGATGCTTTACTAAGTAATAAAAAAGCCGTCCTAAACAAAACCTTAGCTTTCCTTATAGGAAAATCTCTTTAATTTTCTAATGATCGGATGTATGAGAGAATGGAAAGTGGCGTATATTATTCATTATGAAATGATGTATTTTATCCATATGAATTACAGAATATACTCACATTTTACAATTGTATTTTCATATTTCTATTTCAACTCATCATAAAAATAAAATTATGAAATTAAATTTCAACACATAATAATTAACTCATAATCTATTTTATATTCAAAATTTTATTTCCTTATTCTCAATTAGATCACTTAAAAAAGCTAAATTTTATGATTACCTAAACATTTAATTACACCTAATTTTATTTATTTTTATACATTTTAGATCTTAACTTTAAATCAAATGCACACAAAATTCATGAGTTCTCTTCATATATCTATTAATTTTTAAAATATAGATTAATTATCATCTTAGTATTCATTTGTGAAGGTTTTTTTACTACTTTTTAAAGCTATTTTTAGTGCAATAATATCTTGAAAATAGAAAAAAAAAAAACAGTGATATAAAGCTATCCCAAATAAAAAGACGCTTGGCGGCTTGACCAATCCTCGGCTGATTTAAAAGAGGCATCCACCCCAGAAACCTCCTAGCCCGCACTTGATTGGGCCCTACTTAAGAGGCGCTGTCGCTCGAGGAGAATCGAGAACGAATTGGCCGGGGGGTTCCCAACCGTACTAGCCCACCAACTAAACTAAATATCAGAGGGTAATTAAATAGACAACGTGCAATAATTATAATAGTAATTGGATAAAGTAATATCCACCGGTAGAGAGTAAAAAGACGCTTGGCGGCTTGACCAATCCTCTGCTGACCTAAAAGAGGCACCCACTGTAATATCAAAATCTGCTCCAGGATCGTCCAGGAAGATCTGGGATCGTCCTGGGACGATCAGTGGAAATTTTGCTCCAGAATTCCATATGAATTACAGAATATACTCACATTTTACAATTGTATTTTCATATTTCTATTTCAACTCATCATAAAAATAAAATTATGAAATTAAATTTCAACACATAATAATTAACTCATAATCTATTTTATATTCAAAATTTTATTTCCTTATTCTCAATTAGATCACTTAAAAAAGCTAAATTTTATGATTACCTAAACATTTAATTACAACTAATTTTATTTTTTTTATATACATTTTAGATCTTAACTTTTAATCAAATGCACACAAAATTCATGAGTTCTCTTCATATATCTATTAATTTTGAAAATATAGACTACTTATCATCTTAGTATTCATTTGTGAAGGTTTTTTACTACTTTTTAAAGTTATTTTTAATACAATAATATCTTGAAAATAGAAAAAAAATAATAATCTAAAGCTATCCCAAATAAAATTTTACAACCTCGACTAAACATCGGTGGGTAATTAAATAGACAACGTGCAATAATTATAGTAGTAATTGGATAAAAACGTAATATCCACCGGAAGAGAGAATAATCAAGCTTTCTATCCATCGTATTGATTGATTGATGACAGTTTGAAAAAAAGATTATTAATCCCATGTGACAAATCGGTTACCTTTACAAATGCAAATTACTTATTGAATACTTCACATGCAAATGAGGTGCGTCTTGGAGATGTTTTATTGATAGGTATCTTGTCAATATAATACAGTAGGAATGATTGAAGAATGATGATATATAATAAAATTTATTTTAAATTATTAGGGTAAGAGTGCCTAATAATGACAATATGATTGATACCCATTGCTGCTTGTTCGGGTGATGGAGAGCCGTCTGGGCAAAGCCTAGGTCCCTGATTCGAATCCCTTAACAAGCAGTAAAAGCCTTAAGTGTTTGCCCGTGTAAATTGGTGTGGGTTGCATGCTAGGTCAACCCGGATTTTCACTGGCCTAAGAACAGTGCTTCCAAAAAAAAAATGATTGATGATCTCAACTCTCTCGTTTTGGCCTAACTTATATTTTTGCTAATTAACCCCGGCCATTTTTCATAATTATAGAATCAAATAAGGGTAATTGCATTGGAAGATGTTTTTGATAATATAGTTTTCATTATATTGGTCTTTTATTTTATATTCAGAAAATCATGGGCAGATTTGTAGTGGGGTGCCTGGGAGCATTGGAGGTCCCTCCTCCAAGGTCACGGCCCAGAAGGGCTGATTAAAAAATAATTTTGATTCATTTCTCTAACTCGGCATAGTAGCAATTTACATGACGGTAGCTCGTAGGGGTGTAAATGAGTCAAGAGGAGCCCAAGTCATTTCTAATTTGAGCTCGTGTGGGCGCGAGCTTGATTATTTAATCGAGCTTGAGCTTTATTCTATGAGTTCGAGTTGGGTCATGAGCCAGCTTTTTTATTATGAAAGAGAAAAAATGATTATAATTCAAGTAATTATTATAATTGTTGCATGCGAGAATATACGCGGCGGTAGAGTTTGTAAATCATTAATAAAATGATAAAATGAATAAGAAATAAATTGAAATTAATAAAGAATCACTTAATGTAAAAAATGAGATATATTTTAAGTATTTTTTTACAACTTAGTATTTAAAATCTTGAATGTTAATATATTTTACATGTATTTATATTATTATTTTTTAAATGAGTCAGCTTTCGAGATAAGAAAATAGAAATAGAACACGATCTCAATATCTAAAATTGAGATATAAACTACTAAGGCTTTGATGGCTTTCTTATTGCTTCTTAAATTAGTTTTTTAAAATTTTTATATCGTAAAATTGCTTTAAAAAGTAGTAAGAAAGCTGTCTAACGAAGCCTAAGTCAAGAACAAATTCATAATGAAACCCATATTTGTTCACATACTTTACATTTTAAATGAGCGATGATAAGGAATTCCATATGCATCGGGAATTTGTATAACGATATGGCGAATTTGTGTACAGAGACACATTCCAATTTCACTGCTCCTCATAATGTTATAAATAGCAGAGGAAGAGAGATAATGGGAACAGCCAATTTTTCAAATGGAATGTCCCAATCTAGGGTTAATGTTCAACTTTTTTGATAGCCGAAGCATATTTTGACCAGAGACTGGTCAAATTAAGAAGCTTTCAATTATTTGCCTCCACTTTCATATAAAAGTCCAAATAGTGTACAGAAAAAAAAAAATAATAAAATTGCTTGAGATTCTAAATCTAGGCAATTTACACGCGATACATATTCCTTACCTAAACCTGAAGCTTTTGCATATTTTATCAAAGAAGAACAGGAAGAAGATTTAGGCTATAAGAGGTTGAAGATGATGATGATGATGGAGGTCAGTGAGAAGAGAAGGGTGAGACAATATAACAGATCAGAAGCTCCAAGAATACGATGGAGTAATGAACTGCACAACCGTTTTGTTAGGGCAGTGGACTCTCTTGGTGGACAAACCAGTAAGTTTTTTATTTGTATAGGTTCAACCAGAATCATTATATGGAGATCATATGCTGTTTATGTATGTTCTGGACCTCAACTCTCTCTCTCTCTCTCTCTCTCTCTCTCTCCAACTATTAGGAGAGCAGAATGCATATACAAAGTTCACGTTGATAAAGAACTTGGCATGCATGAATTTATCAAGCTTAGATGTTGGGATGTTGAAAGGCAAAACTCAGATCTTTGCTCTCTCTCTCTCTCTCTCTCTCTCTCTCTCTCTCTCTCTCCAACTATTATGAGAGCAGAATGCATACATAAAGTTCACGTTGATAAAGAACTTGGCATGCATGAAGTTATGCAAGCTTAGATGTTGGGATGTTGGAAAGGAAAAACTCAGATCTTTGAGATTGATTTTGGGAATTATCAGCTTAAGATTTGATAACTAAGAAATTTACGGGGGATAATTTTATTTTGGAAATTTAAGAATCAGTAATTAATGCTATGAATAGATCGAATGATTGATCTTTGGCAGAAAAGAACTGCTAAAATCACAAAAAAAGGACAAAAAGCACATTAAAATTCGTTAATATCCTCATATTTTTGTAAATTAAAAGGATGAGAACATGCATGAGTGATTTCATGATGGTCACATATGTGAAAGAACAAAGAAAAGCTAACATGCAGGTGTAGTAAACCCTAGCTTGCTTTAGAAGGGTAGCAAACAAGATATTGTTGTGATGAGAGTTAGATATTTGATTAAAATTGCAATATTCATCTGAATATGTATGCATGTATGGGTGTGTTTGTGTTCATACTAAGTGATTATTAATTATATCCACTTTCACCTAGATAAACTAAGGTTGTGTTTGTAACGGTTTTCTTATTGCTTCTTAAAGCAGCTTTCAAGTATAAAAATTAAAATTGTTTAACTAGAAAACTGTCTTAAAAAGCACTAAGAAAACCGTCCCAAACGAAACCTAACGTCACTAAGAATTACCTCAGAATTCCTAAATGACAGCAATTATATATAGCTAGCTCAGAATGAGCTAATCTGTTCAATATAAAAGATAGGTTGCATCTGTAAGTAAAATTATTATTATTTGATGAATTACTACTCTTTAGGGGGATAAAATCATTTTATTTTTTCATTGTTTAAATTAGAATATTTCTATGCTGATTTATTTTTCTTGGATTAAATATATGCATACAGAAGCAACCCCAAAGCGCATTCTTCTGTTAATGGGTGTAAATGGACTGAACATATCTCATGTCAAAAGCCATCTTCAGGTACTTCTATAACTCTATCAATGTTCTATGGCTAATTTAAAGGCTGGTTAATTATGTATTAATCATTATAGAAATAAATGCATTCATTAGTAGTACTGATACAATGTTACAACTAATCAGTGAAAGTATTTTAGATGCTCATCTGTTGAGTTTCACAGCTGATATAGATTTCGTTTGGGATAGCTTTCTTATTATTTTCTAAAGCACGGGTTTAGTATAAAAATTTTTAGTTAAAAAAATCTTTGTACTAAAAAATTGTTTTAAAAAGCGGTGATAAAGTTATCCCAAACAAAACCAAAAGCATGAAATTTGCATGATTTTTAGAACTAATTAACAGCTTTATTTTTATCATTTAGTTGAATATTTAGAGATACATATGAGATGAACTTGTCTCCATGAAAGATAAGAGAGTTATTAGCCTCCCAAATTTATTTAGCAGCCTCTTAGTTGCTTAATTTTCATGCCATATTGGCATAAAACATGCATATTTTCACACTTAACATAAGAACTAAATAATATATAATCATATTAGTTTTAATGAGTTTTTTAAGCTACTAATCAAATATATTAAGAAAAAAATGTTTCATGATCATACTTAGTTTAAAATATGTCAAGAATATATCCTTTTACCCACGTGTAAATACTCTTTTTTTTTTACACAAGAGAGGGAGATCCTCATGACGTCAGAGCAGCTTGTGGAGATTTGAGATAATGACACAACAGTTATAGTAACAGTGACAGATGTTTGCAGAAAAGTAAAAATTATTACGTGCGGTATCCAAACGCATCCGGAGGCCAATCCGGACGTTGTGTACTGGGTGACGTAACGCATCTGAATTGGCCTCCAGACGCGTTTGGACTTCACACGTAATAATCTATTGAGAAATATAAACCCACCCTTTTATTATACTTTTTGGAAACAGGTGAGAAGCACTCCCTCATCAACATGTTAAAAATGAAGTATACATCATGTACTTTGATAGTCAAAAAGTATTGAACATGCTCTAAATATTATAAAAATGCATAAAGGAACTATAGGTCATTCTCAATGTTATTTTATGATAAAATGATTATCATGTCACCAAATTAAACCATCATAAAATTGTGCTTAAAAATACATGAAAATTTTCTTTAGAGTAGTTTTTATAATATTGAGGAATTATGGTGTTGAGATGCACTCAAAATAGCCCTAAAAAGAATATATAGTAGATAAATATATTAATGTAGAAACATTAAAAAAAATTAATGTAGAAACATCAAGTAATATGTCCTTTCCATAGCTTCATGAAGTGGTGGATTAGTGGAAAAATTGGATATGCTAAAAGGATTACAAAACTAAGAATCAATATAAGCTCACAAGCTTCAAAATAGCGTAGTATTCATCCCCTTCTTTTCCCTTACAATGGTTATATATGATAAGAAAGCTAAGAAATTTCTAGAAAATAAGAAGGTAAGTTAGTCCTAAGAGTTTATTTAGCTAATCATGCACTGCATCACTTCGTCATTTTTGGGTTAAAAGTATTTTGACTACCATTATCAAATTATTTAGGTTTCCATTTGATCCACACACACCCTAAGAAGTAGCATTATATGAATAATGGTTCATTTTGTGGCTTTCATATGTTTGGATTTATTCTATAGAAGAAGCAATATTTAAGGCTAGTTCATCACAGATAAGCTACATATGGTTAAGTGAATTCTTTGTATATAATATTTGATGGTGTTAAAAAGCTTTCGTTTGAAGAGTGATGGCTTATTGGGATTAATCTTATTTTGATTATTTTTAACAAGGATATAAGAGAAGAAAAAAGTTAACATCAAAGTGGTGACAGATATTTTATAAAAATATATCAAATGATTAATCATATTTAGGGGTACAAACAAGTCAAGTCAAGCTCAAGTCATGTCAAACTCAGACTCGACTCGTCATGAGCCAAATCCCAAGCTCGAACTCAAATCAAGCTCGGCTCATGCCAGTGAAAGGAGCTCGCGAGCTTCCTCAGTCCGGCATTCACATGTGTTTCGCCTTCCGCAGTACGGCATTCGCACCACGTTCACTAGTTCGGTTCTACAGTTCGCCTTCTGTGCAAGCGCTTCTCCCTTCCATGCTTCGCCAGTTCACCTACGGTTCGCCTTCGCGGTCTTGGTCAGTTTGCTCGCATTTAATTGAGCCGCTCAACAAGTAATAGAGTCGAGCATCATCTGGATCGAACTCAAGCTCCATAATCCAAAGAGCTCGAAATTTTGCTCGAGTTCAAAACTCAATTCACAATCTCGTTAATGAGTCGAGTTTGAGTCGGCGCACGAGTCGTCTTGACTCTTTTGCACCCCTAACTCTATTATAGACCTAAAATACATATTAAAAATTAATTGAGTCACTGTTATATATGGTACAATTATAATCCACACACACACCCATCCTAATATACAGGTTTGCCATTTACAAAAATTGAGGCCCATTTCAAAGTGCATATGTGTGGATATGGTGTTCTAGCTCGCTTTGTCATTTGACATATAGTACATTTATCTCTCAAAACCTATGCAAGTATAACTGGTGCAACCATTAGCTCCAAATCTCTGACTTCCTATATTTCAATTGAAATCGAGTAACACATCATCAAAGAGATTAACCTAACTCTTGCCTAATTTTTGAAAGATCTTGAGAGCTTTTCATTGGCATTTATACATAAGAAATTCCATATGCTTCTAGGATTTATTGTTGAAAATTATCTTAATGGTGCCTTCTTAATATTGTCAGGCATAGTTTGTACTTGATAACATTACTTATAATGAGTAAATAAAATTTTAATTCAAACTGAGCAATATAATTTATCGTGTTCAACTTCCCTTTGTAAGCTTTCAAAACTAGCATCTTGGCCTTTGCAGGAGATTTAGGCCCTATTATTTAGATAATGATAGTATTTTTTAAGTTTGTTTGATCAGTTTTTTTTTTTTTTGGCGATGATGATAAAGTTTTACTCATTTTTTCTTTTACGCTATGAAAATCTTTTGACAAAGCCAAATGAAAGAAAATTCACTCAATGATGATCACTACAGGGAATTCATTGAATACTGGCGGTCATTTGACCGTTGGAAGTTCCGCCAATTTTATTTTTCATGTTGGTATTTACCGCTGTTTAGCCTCCATTTTTATGTGAAAATTGATGTTAAATGCCAGAAATTACCGCCGGTAATGGACAATTTTTCTGTAATGAATATGATGAGTTGATGAAGTTGCACTCTTGGATATGTAGAATAAGTGAGATATTTTTTAGAATGCTCCGAGAAGTGTTGTTGAAGTTCTAATACTCCTACTACACTGTGCCATCCCTTTGTTTGGAATGATCTATTGCTTGGTATTTTACTTCAAGCACATCCACATTTATCACAAACCTAAAAAGATGCTCCATCCAAATATGATAGTTGGTAACTTGAGCTTTACAAATTATGGCGAGTAGTTTTAAATCTTAGAAGAATTCATTTGAAAACTTAGGCAAATAGCATCGTTTACAATTGGGTGATTCTATCTGCCCGGTCCCTAGGACGGCTTTGTCAATAAATTTAAATAAGTTTGGCAACATGAAGTCGTTGGATAATTATATTCTTTGAGACTTTTTTGTGGCAATAATCTTCCGGTCAACTTGACTTACACTCAACCAATTGAGATTTGTTGACTTGCATTTAAATCACCATAAACACTATTTATAGGTGTACAAAAAGGGCAATGATTACTCTTAAGAATTAGAAGTCAACACATAAAGATCATATCATTGCATGAATCAAGAAAATTTTCCCCTCATTGAGCCAATTATGAAATGTGGTCCCTAACATGAAATAGGACTTATCTGTTGTAGAACATGGTTAATTAAGAGATCATTTTGAAATGTGATCCCTAGTTAGCCACCTTACCCATCTCATAGCTCCTATATTTCTTATTAGAGCACATTAATTTTGTCATAGGCGCTTATGTAACTGCCATGCCTTTATCTCTCCTTATGATCAATAGGCTTCATTTGGGACGGCTTTCTTACTGCTTCTTAAAGTAGCTTTCTAGCAAAAAAAATTTAGAAAGTTGCTTTAAGGAGCAATAAGAACGCCGTTTCAAACGAAGCCTGAATATGTTTATCATTTCTCATTAATTTGTCTATGTTTTTTTTCTTGATCATCTTTCTAGTTGTATGTCTTTTAGTATCTAGATAAAGACTCCTCACATTTTTGCTTAGTTGCCCCAAATACATGCATATATAGCCACAAAAGACTTGTTTTAATGGCTGCAAATTTATAATCAACCTACAAATATTAATCAATCATATTTCATTTCACATCCTTCAATCCTAACAAAACTTGCTTATACTTAATTAATTTTAACTCTTGAGAAAGCACAATTACTTCTTCATTAACAAGCTAGTGCAAACGGCAGATGTACAGATCCATGAGCAACAGCCATTCAGACCTCAGTAACTTCCAGTTTTCCAAAGGCCACTGCTTGCAAAACATATCTGATCAATGCAACCATAACTTCCTTGAGGATTCATGGAAGAAGTCTACTTCAAACTCCAAAATCTACAGGTCCATCATCTTCATATTTTTTCCCCTCAAGCAAGAGAAAAATATTTTCATTATTAACATATGTTATCATTATTTTGTCTTATATTTAAGAGTTTTATTATTATTATTATTATTATTATTATTATTATTATTATTATTATTATTATTATTATTCTGTATTGACATATCCTGCGCTGTGCAGCTCAGCTTCAAATGGAATGCTGATGGATGAAGCTATTTCGAAGAAAGGTGATAGAGATCAAGGCAGTAAACAAAAGAAGGTTAGCTGTTTCTTTTTACTTTATTCCAACCAGCTTTGCGTTGCATGTGCTAGCTTTAAATGAGGAGAAATTATTACATACGGTCACAGGACGGTTCAGAGGCTAATTAGGACGCTCCACGTCATCCGATATACGACGGTACACTGTGTTGGTGATATTGCATGTCCTGATTGGCCTCCGGAAAACGTCCAGTGACCGCACGTAATAATGTGCTTAAATGAGGCATTATTAACTAGGCTTCGTTTGGGACGGCTTTCTTGCTGCTTTTTAAAACAGCTTTTTAATTTAAAAATTAAATATTTTATATCAAAAAGTTGCTTCAAAAGACAATAAGAAATTCGTCTCAAATGAAACCTAAAACATATAGCATGGCTTATGTAATATAAATCAACCATTTGGTCAACACCTACCCGACATTATACAAACCAACGCATGTGATGAGAGAACTTATCAAGCCCAACTAAATGTATGCATTAAATTGTTGTCCTTCTTTTTCAATCATACAGAATAAGCGTATCCAGTGAGGATTAATTAGTTTGTAGTTTTACAATAATGTAGTTAATAATTATCTGATTAGAGGACTAAATCAAGAAGTTAATGGATATTAAAAATCTTCTCAGTTCTCTTCATGGCCTAATAGAACACTAAGATAATTGTTTGAAATGGGATTAAGCCTAAAACTTAATGTACATTAACAATCTTTCCTTTGGGATATGATAATATGGGACTAAACCCAAAACTTAATGAATATTAGCAATCTTTTCTTCATGAGATGATAGTACTCCAACATAATTATCTAATATATCTTATCTTCCTGACTTGATAGTTCTTCAAATATCATGCGTTAAGAGCTCAAAAATTTAACCACGTCAAGATATAAAATAGGAGTGAAAGTTATTAGGTGGGTTGAGAGATCTTAACAGTTAATTCGGCATTTTTCTCTGTACTGATTGGTTTAGATTAAGCAAATCAGCCAAGGCATAATAAGATAGTGTGTCAGAATATATGTAACTCATTTTGGTCTGTTGGTTGAGAGCTTTGACTATCAACCAAGAGATATTGGATTTAAGTCTTGCGTATATGATGTGTATATGAGTTTGTCTTAATTAGCCTAAATGTCCAAATAAAAAAGGTCAAGTTTGTTTGTGTAACAGCCCAAACTCTTAACTATAGAGATATTGTTCACTTTGGCCTAAGGGCCTCACAGTTTTGTCATGTTAGTGTAACTTCCCAATATATCACTCATCCAAGAATTGTTCTGAGATGAGCACGCTTAACTGTGGAGTTTCTTACAGAAATTACAACCATTACACAAAAAGACGCCTCGATATCTAAGAGTTAGCTTTTTTTCACTTAAGGGGTTTTACAATCACCCTCACTTAAAGTAACTGATATCATTTTTAACATCTTCAATGAATATTGGAAGAAAACTCTGCAGTTAAGCGTGCTCATCATATAGCAATTTTGAGATGTGTGACCTACTGGGATGTTACACCAACATAACAAAAATATGAGGCACTTTGTGTACCAAAGCGGACAATATCTCGATAGTTAAAAGTTTGAGCCGTTATAGTTTGGAGCAGATATTTTACTATTTGATTTTTTAAAATTAATAGTACACTATTTTAAAAATTTTTATGATAAAAAGTTGTTTTTAACTATTAAACTAATCACCAAAATCAATAGTAATAATAGTTCAATCTTTTTAAGGTACTGTTTTTCAAAATGTTGAAAAGAAAGAGAAGGTACCACTTTTTTCTTTCAAAAAGCTAACAACTATTAAAGAAGGCATTGCCAACTTACAAGATTGAAGGATCAAATTTAAGTTTGGATTGTGACAGTTTTCTTTTTTTTTTTTAAATAATTGTTTAGTAAAATATTTTTTCTATTTAAATATATAAAAAAAAAATAGAATCCAAAAATTATCCCAAACAAATCATTAAAATATTAGATAAATGACCTAAACATAACATGGGGTTATACTTAGATCTTTAAGATTTGTTGGCGTCCACAAGTCTCCATAGATATCATCAATGACGTAGAAATCCATGTGTGTATTTAATGAAATTCTACCCTTCCTCGCATCAAGTTCTGTAAAGAATTTCTTCAAGTAATTATCCCAAAACAGTCCCTAAATTTATGTCATCATCTTTAGTTTTACTTCAAAATAATTATTTTCAATTAGGCCCCCAAAATTAACAATGTGGAAACTACTTTTTCTCATTGTGGTTGAATGATGCAAAAATAAACTTTCAAAAGTTGGCTCTTATACATTTTGATTGATGTGCGCAATTCTCAGCCCTAAGGGCAAGGTGCATTCTCAAAATATAAAATTATTTTGGGTTGGGTTTGAATTATATATATAAAGCATGTTTTAATAATAAAATAATTTAATTAAATATGGAATATATATCATCCAATACAAAAAAAAAAACTGAAAAAATAAATATTCTTAAAAGAGGAAGTTTGAAAAAGAATTTATTTGTTTAGGGCAACTCTTTGAAAATTTAATCTCACTTGTTAGTCTTCAAACCTTTCACAATTTCATTATTCTCATCATCATTATTTCACTCAACTTATATCACATGTATCCATTATTTATTTATTTATTTATTTATGTATTTATTAGGACATATCTTAAGATTTCGATTGGGATAGCTTTTTAACTGCTTTTTAAAATAGCTTTTTGGTACATAAATTTTTAATTTCAAGAAATTTTTTAACTAAAAAATAACTTTAAAAACAGTAAGAAAGCTGCCCTAAACGAAACCTAAATATATATTAGGCATCCATGATTTGATGTTATAAATTAAGTTTTCTCTTGAGACAGCTTTTTAATACAAAGATGAAAAATTTTATACTAGAAAGCAGTATCAAGAAGTAGTAAGAAAGTCGTCCCAAACGAAACTTAAGTATTCACCCAAAATACTACATGCTCACAGTTTTTTCTTCCTCGCGATTTTTTTTCGCCCTAGCCGCTCTGCTAGGGCTCGTGCATGGCTCCGGGCGTCTTCGCCCGCTCGACGGGAGCTTTCTCTCTGGTGGCCATCTTTCTCCAGGGAAGTCTCTCCTTCTCTGCCTTTTTCTTTTAGCGTGGCTAGTTCTTTATGGTTTTTTCGTTTTTGGCCGGCCGTGCCGGTATGGCGGCTGTGAAGCTTCGGGACCCCGAATTTTTTGGTGAGGTTTCCCATTCGCGTTCTTTTATTGAAGCTCTTGCTGGTCCTAAACCTTCCTTTCTGGATTTGTGTGCTTCTACCTTTCGTAGTATACCATCTTTATGGGTTTCCGACCTAGAAATTCAAGAGCTCGCTGCCCCTTTTCAGTTTTCCCTTGTTGGTTTCTTTCCTTCTAAAAGACCCCCTCTTGATTCTATCCACAAATTTTTTTTCAATTTGAAGTTGAAAAGTGAGTTCTCTGTAACAGTTTTGGATTCTTCACATATCTTGATAAAGCTTGCCAACGATCTTGACTACTGTAGGGTGTTCTGTCACCGCTCTTATCTAGTGTTTAATTGCTTTATGAAGTTGACGAAGTGGTCGCCATACCTGGATATTGCAGTTGAATCGCCTGTTATTTCAATATGGGTTTCATTTCCTCGGTTGCGCCCTCATTTTTTTTTTCACCTCGTATTTTGTTTGGGCTTGGCGGTTTGTTTGGTAAGCCTCTGAAGATTGACGCAGCTACGGCTGTAGGTTCCCGCCCTTCCATTGCCCGCGTGTTAGTTGAACTTGATATAACCAAATCCTATCCTAAACTTGTTTGGTTAGGTTCTGAAGCTTTAAGTTATACTCAAGAGGTTGTTTTTGATGAGTTTCCTCAATTCTGCGCCGACTGTAAGTGTATCGGACATGTTCAGGGTAACTGCAAACCTGGTGCTCCTGTGATTCAAAATTTTCCCAATCCTTCTTTAGCGCCTGTTAGTATAGTTGCTGAGGGTGTTTCTAAGACTTCTTTGGAGGGTGAGTTGTTGGATGGTGTTGTCATTCCTGGGAATGTTCACGCTGTTGAGCCGTCTGCTTCCCCTGTTTGTGGGGGGGGTATCTGCTGCGGTGGAGGGTCTTAATGATGCT